CTCTTAAAACAATTTCTGAGTAAAATAGATTTCACCAATCCAATAGTTTTTTTTCTAGTATCCATGGAGGTTTCCTTTCTAACCTTTTATTTGAAATTATGTGGAATGCCAACATCTTGATTATGTCATTATTTCCTCTTCGAGTTTCATGGGCTAGCCATTTTAGTTGTTTCAACTGTTGATATTTCTCAAGTGATGTAATTTCTGTTATTTAGTACAGTTCTTTGTGTTTCTGTAGCACCAGTTCACAAGGTTCAAAGAATGGTGGTTTTTGCCAAATCCTACAGGCTTCACTTGCACAAAGCAGTTTTTAACCATTAAGCTATAATCAATCAAGGTGATTGTATAAAAACAATAATAAAATAACTAATAGATAGAAAAATGTCGTTATAAGCAAAGAAAAGAATGCTAAACTGCAATATCTCTCCCCTATATGACAGTGAATGTTAGACAATTTCGTCACAGATGAAAAGGAGATTTGAGGCAACAAAAATAGATTTCTACAGAAGAATGCTTATTAAGAGTAAAATAAGTGAGAAACGAAGAGGTTCTAAAATATGGAAGCGAGAAAGACGAAAGCAGAAAAATATGTTACATATATTTAGGTACCTCCAAAGAAAAGCGATACCTAAGGTTTAAGATTATTTTTTAAAAGTGAAAAATCTTTCTTGAAATTTTTATTTTAGTTTTACTTTCAAGCTAATAGATTAAATTTAATATTTCAAAGATGCAAAATATTTTATTGCATTTCTAAACGAATTTAAATTAATTAGAATTAGTTTTATTAAATCGCTAAAAAAGTGTTTTAAAAATTTAGGAAAAATATATGTAATCTAATATTTTATTAAATTTCAGTTAATTTTACTTAAAATTTACTATAGTTACGGTGCTTATTTTGTGACAATGTCGTGTATGGACGCGTCCGTATTTACAAAACATCTGGGCGTTTATACGCACACAAAAGAATTAAAAATTATTTTTTGAATACTGGAGGTTGCTCAGTTGTAGTAAGCTTTCCATTTATGATAAGTAAATATACTTTTTATTTAATAACAAACCGCTACAATTTGTTACAGAATTTTAAAAGATTTAAAACTTCATAAATTATCGTAATTAACTCTTTAAAAAAAAAATGTAAACAATTCTTGTAAAAATTCATTGTTCATCAAAAAAATTTCTTAAGACAATAATGTCCATCTTTTATTCATAAAAGCAATCAAAAGGTTTTTTAATTAAATAATGTCTTAGTTTTATTGATTTTTTACGATCCTAATCGTAAAAAAATCAATAAAACTAAAACATTATTTTCAGTTACAGAAAATCTGCTTTTAATCGTAAAATAAAAATGAATGTAACTATTTTATAAACGTTTATTATTTTTTTAGAAAAGTTTGGTAAAATATTTTAACATCTTTTACCCACCGCTGACTTATTTAATTTAATGAAATTCCGAGAAATTCACTTTTGTGGGGCTTATAATATTTATAAGCACAAATACTTCGAGAATTTAAATCATCAATATTTTTGTAAAACAAAACATTTCTAAAATAATTTAATTCATTTGTGAATAAACCCCGAAAGTTTAATTAAAATATGGCAATTATTTGATTTTTGCACGTGATTTCCAAATTAATGTGTTTTTCACCCCAAAAAGACGTTAAATTTCCTACACTAATTTATGGTCACCAGCTGAAGAAAAAAAAATAACCAAAATTTTGAACATTCTACAAAAGATTAGAAGATATAATTTAATAATAAAATACTTTGGTTTCTCCTCTAAATTATAACAAAACTTTTGACAATGAAACTTTGTTTTTATTAAGTTTGGGGCATTTTTCAACATGGTATGTTCATTTTTTTAGAGAATCTTTGTATTGTAATAGCTATACAAAATATTAAGAGATAAGAAAATTTTGTTAGAAACAAAGAAAAGATTGGTGAACTACTGTGTCATATATGTCCTCCTTAAAGGGTAGTAAGTTCTAAACAATTTCCTCACTGATAAATAGGAAACTTGAAATGATAGAGATATTGTTCTATGAGGGAATGCTAAGAGAACAAAGAAAAAAACATGCGAGCAACGAGAATTTTTTTTTTTTCATGGGCGAGAAAAGGACACTTATGCTTCCAATCAAAAGTAGACTTGATATTTCTGGTACACATAATGAGGAAGGTTGTCATGGATAATTTAACAATCACAAAGGAAACATCGATTAACCTCCTTAGCAATCTTGTGTAAACGGATGGCATAACAGGGACTGGGAGGGATATTAAGTGGACAAACATTGCTTAGAGCTACAAAGGTATAGAGAGACATGATCGTTCATTTTCTGAAGGTGTACGAAAAAAACAGTTGAAAGAAGATTGAGCTTGAAATTAAATAACAAAATTTCTAAGCTTTTTTCTGTTTATCTGCTCGAAATCTGAATAACCCTATTTATTCTAGCTTTATCATTAAAAGAAACAAGAGTTCAGCGTGAAAAGCCTGAATATTATTATAGAAATTCAGCAATGTGTCCCAGTTAAAACCAAGTCATGGATGACGTAATCAAAGCAGCCGTCGCTCGTATTCGTTACTTTGAGATCATCAAGGGAAGAAGAAACTCGATCATGTAAGAACAGGTTTGTCTTCTTTTATTTACTTGTCTCCACCCCACCCCACTTTTTAGGTGACAGATGTCTCTTTTCTCTGGATTTGTTTCAACCCAGTTAATCGAGATTTCAGCCACATTTTTGGGAAGGGTCCTACTACTAATATTGTTTTGTTTAGTTTCTTTTACAAACATATTTTTCATTGTATATAAACATTGGGTTTTTGATTTTTTTCCCCATCCCTCGATAACTGTGTGAATAAAAATTTCATGTTAGGGTTTTTCAGAGAGAAAATGTGGTATTTTGGTGATTGTGGTTTGACAGCTAAGAGTAAATGCGTTGTTATGGTGAAAGGAATATTGTAAGTACGAATGGGTCAAAGAATGAGACTAGTTAGTCTTTTGGTAGGACTAGAGAAGACCAGTCTTTTCCCCACCCCCATTTTTAGCCCTTGTGGCACATTTTGTACCTTTTATGGTAAATAAATATTAAGAACAGGTTGCAAGTCACATAGCTAAGTACACGTCATGCTGATGTAGCTTTAACTGTGGAACGCTTATATAAAAGCGATACAGTAATCATTTTAAACGAGGAAGAGAATATTTTTAGAATATATAAGCTGGTCTGTTCTTTGTCTTTTCAGCGTGCAGCGCTTCGATGGAGAAGGAGCTGCAAGTCACATTTTGGGAAGTTACTGCCAATTTCAAATAAAGAAACCCTGTCTCTTGATCGATCTCTCTTAATCTCTTCATTTTACGTTATTCCATGGAATAAATATGCCTGTTTATTGAACTTTAGACGTCGAATCGATTTATTTTATCTGTTTGTTAATGCTGCCCTTCACAATCAAAATTTCGCAAATAGTAGTTTACTATTATGACGTCATACCACGGTCGACGTGAGCATCTCCAAATATCTTGATGACCAGTGCCTATCAGCTGATCTCTCCTTTGATCTGACTCTCACAGCTCAGTGAGGAAAAGACTGGTTGATATCATTCAATACATCCAAAACTAAACTCATAACATTTCATCATCACCGAGCAGAGTCCAAACTTGTACTGATGAGCGTTCATACCCTTGAAGAGGTTCCTTGCCTCGAACGCCTACTAGGTCTAAAGCTTACTCCCAATCTCAAATGGAACGCGTATATTCATGCCACCACGGAAGATTATGGAAGAATGGTCGGTTTCTTGTATCACTCCAGAAAATACCTAACTTCCGCGACAATGCTCTGTCTTTGCAAGAGTCACATCAGACCAAGAGTATTGCGGCAATATATGGGCTGGTAATGCCCAATCCTCATTGTCCAAAAGCGCTTACGCAGCCTTGTGGGTGATGAATTATTCTCCACCCTGAAACCTTTATTCCATAGACAGAAACGTCACCAGCCTTTCATTAGTATATTTCTATTACTATGGCAGATGTTCAGACGAGTTACATACCTTAATTCCATCAGTTTGGACATTTATAGCTAGAACCCGCCATGCCGTGTCCATGGTGGCAAACCATCCCCAGTCCATTTGTGTTTCTTTGATAAAAAAGCAAGTTCCACTCAGACAGCTTCTTCCCAAGAACAGGTTCCCGAGAGAATGCTTCCCTAACAACTAGAATCTTAGTTTCTCAAGTCCAGAGTCAACCGATATATGTGCGTCTCGTCCTCATAAGACTCTTCCCTCCTCCCTTATAATCTTACTCAGTAATCTTCTACCTTGAGGGGCTCGTGCGCTTTTTCTTGGGTGAACTGTTAATAAATAAAAAAGTCTCATTGTCTATGGTAATGTGATCTTGACACGCTATGAGTTAACCCCTTTTCACCCTTGTTAATCCTGCTACATGTTTAAAAAACAATTCTAAGTATACTTGTTCGAATAATGTTTCATCTCAGCACTTCTCATACTTATTTGTGCGTATTTGTAAAATATAAACCTAGTTAATCCAGTTAAAACATTTTTTCATTCTTTATTGTATTTACTGTTTAAATTTTCACTAAATCTTCATTTTTATCTTTAAAAGAAGCAAAAACGTTATGTTAAATTATTTTGGGGGCTATTTATTTGGCGAACACAATCAAAAACTCGAATGAATAATCTCTCCTAGTTTCATTTAGACAACAACCACGTCTTATCTCCATGATATTTTTTTCTCAGAATCCTATTTTAAAGTGATTGATGCGATTGGAGAATTGATTGGTGTGTGAAACAAAATGTCTGACGCTATCACAACTAGGCTAAGCTCCTTCAGCAAATGTATACGTCATATATACTGGCATACAAATGCAACTCTATACGTCTTTATAGGTCCGTTTTCGCTTGTACTTGTACCTACAATCGTAAACGAAAACAAAAATACTAATCACAATTTAGACTCTGCAATATATTAATAGGCTGAGTCCATAAAGTATGACTG